GAGAGGGCGCAGGACCCGACCTGGGGGCGCGGCCAGGTTGGGGAGAACGGGTGGTCGGTCCCGAGGGGTCGCATGGTGAGGGTCCCCAGCACCTGGGGGGGGGGGGCAGGAGCGGGCGGTGCTGCCGCGAGGACAGGGTGGTCGCTCACCCAGGCAGGCAGCTCTCGATGGCTCAGGTAAAGCGTTTTTGCCGTGAGCCGCTCCTCGTCGTCCAGCAGCTGCCTCGCCGCCCGAAGGCTCCGTTTCTTCTCGTCGCGGACCCGGCGCCAGCCCAGGTAGAGGGCGAGGCCGAAGAGCACGAACCCCACGCTGAGTCCCGCCGCCCCGGCCAGGTACACCGGCACCAGCACCAACAGCCGCCGCCCGAAGGAAGTCAGCACGGCCAGCACCTCACCCGCCGCGCCCGGGCCCCCAGAGCCCGGGTCCGGGGGCTCCGAGGGCGGCTCCCGGGCTCCGGGGCCGGGGCCGGGGCTCGAACCCTCTACAGGAGAGCGCTCCATGGTGCCACTTCGGCGAGGACCCGCCCGACCCGGACCACCAGCTGGGGCTGGACTAGCGGAGCCGCCTGCTCCCCCTGCAAACCGTGACCCCCGGGCTGGGGGAGGGGCCTCAGGCCACGCCCCCTCCCCCCGACGGTTGGGGTTGGTCCGCGCCGCAGAGACCGAGGCGGGGTGAAGAGGCTGAGCCCCGCCCCTTTTCTGCGGGGAAAGCCAGGGCTTCTGGGCGGCGGGACCTCCTGATTGGACGAGCCTGCCAAGGCCGGCGGTCAGAGATGGCGGGAAAAGCAGCAGAGGGGCTAACGGACAGATTTTGATTGGTCACCAAGGGGAGGAGGCGTGTCATACCAATTCGAGGCGGGACCCAGTGCCCCCCACGTGGGATTGGAGTGCCCTGGTATGACGTCATGCAGAGCCGCACCGCCGATTAACTCGGTTTTAAAGCGAGCTGGGATTTGTGAAGTTGAGGGGTTGGTTGTGGAAAACCGGGGTTCCCTTCCGCTCGTGCAGACGGTTTGGCAGGACTTGTCTCGCATGCTCTGAGCACGTTCTTTGCCTTTCTGGTTTTGCCTGGCCGCCCTTACAAAAGGAAAGGAGATGAGCGTATTGGGAGTGGAGGTGTTGGGCGACCGCCCTGGAGTGCGCAGTGTGAGGGCTGAGCTGAGAAAACGGGAGACCCAGAGAACGAACGAGAGGACCTGGCCTTCGGGGGCGAAAAGTCAAAGAAGCGAAGGGGCGACTAGGCAGTGAGGCTTGCTGTTTGGAGATCTTGAAGCGTTAATCACCTCCGTCATGGGGGATCCATTGCACCTAAATTAGCTCCAGAGGAGCGAGGACTCAGCTGCCGCAGGGTTAGTCCATTTTCCGAGAATGTCCTGACCCTGAGGGACTTCTACGCCATTCCAATAAGAAGTCAAGCGTCCTGAGACCATTCGGGTTCTTATTTGTTTGGACCAGAGGCAAGGGCTGGAACACAATCATGTGTAGAACTAATGCATTTCCACACGGGACTGTACGGGTTCAGGAGGGGGAAGGGCAAGGTACACTGATAATGGCTTTGGAGGCAGACTGCTGTCCAGAGACCCAGCAACTGGATTAAGTGGAGGTTGAAGAGGGGACAGCTGGTCATAAAGTGATCAGCTTTAATGCAGTGTACTTGTGTGCATCTTATTGTTGTTCCGTGGGATGCAGCAGGCGAGCTGGGGCTGTTCCTGGGAAAGACTAGGTCTGCAGCTGATACTTTTTATCTGGCTCTGCAGGGCATAATTTTATCCGGCTGTGTTTCATCAAAGCTACTTTGCCCAGCCTCCCTCCCTCAAGTTTTCTCGGTTCGATTTCTCCACACCCCCGGGGCTGGCGGGACCTGACTGCTTCGGTTTCCAGAGCTGTAGTTTCTATCTTCCTCCCTTACCCTCCATATTCCCAGAAGTGACAAAGAGCCTGGTGGAGCTACGAGTAATCTGTTCACCAACCAGCGAGGCAGAACGGAACCTGAAACTCACTAAGTACTGGAGCAAGGAGGGTCCCTGAGGCAGGTGGATGACAGAGTGACCCATGGAGGCCCCTTTTCAAACTTCTCCTCTTCCTCATCTCCTCCCCTCCCCTCCCCACCCCGCCCCGCCCCACCTCAAGATCATCAGCACCTCCTATTTAAGACGCTATACCAGGGCCAGAAACTCATCCTGAGAGACGCTTTTGTCTCAGCCAGGGCCCAGAAGCTAGCGGACCAGCAGCTGCAATGCAGTTACCGACGTCAGTAAACAGGGTGGGGCCCGTCCATTGACAATCTTGCTGCCCAGGTGCCACCTGCTGGCGATAAGCAGTAAGTGGGCACAGGCAGACATGGCCGTTAGAGGAAGTGGGGCCTCACAGGGCGGGGCCTAGGGGAAGCAGAGGACCTAGACTTCCAGGGTTGGCAACCCGGGTTTATGTCAACGCTAATTACCTCCTAGGTGAAGCCGAGTCTGATGATGTATTCTGGCCTCAGCTCATTAGGAAACTTGTGTTAGTCTTTCAAAGTTAGTAACAATTGGTGGTCCCACTGTTGAATGCCTCTATCTTTAGAACTTTCTCTCTGGAACCAGACTGCCTGAAGAGATTCCTGGCCCCATTCCTAACTGGTTGTAGAACACTTTGCAGGTTATTTATTTATTTATTTATTTTGACAGGCAGAGTGGACAGTGAGAGAGAGACAGAGAGAAAGGTCTTCCTTTTGCCGTTGGTTCACCCTCCAATGGCCGCCGCGGCTGGCGCACCGCGCTGATCCGATGGCAGGAGCCAGGTGCTTCTCCTGGTCTCCCATGGGGTGCAGGGCCCAAGGACCTGCACTCCCGGGCCATAGCAGAGAGCTGGCCTGGAAGGGGGGCAACCGGGACAGAATCTGGCGCCCCAACCAGGACTAGAACCTGGTGTGCCGGCGCCGCAAGGTGGAGGATTAGCCTAGTGAGCCGCGGTGCCGGCACTGCAGGTTACTTTTTAAGCCTGCTTCCTCCTCTGCAAAATGAGTGATAATGCTACCCATTGTGTCAGTGAGTCCACGTAAAATGCCTAGAATGGTACTTAGGCTTACAGTAGGCACTCAGCGAACATTAGCTGTTATTCTAGAATTCCATTTATTTCCTGTGCAACACAGAACCTTCCTCCGTTGCTCAGCAACTTAAATACTTCAAGACATCTATTGGGTTTCTCCTCCTCAGCCTGGTCTTGCCAGTCCCCCACCCGCATCATTTTTCCAGCTACCCCACTGGTTTGCCAACGGGCCTCTCAGAGTTCTGTTTAGAGGGGTAGACCTTTGGCCTGGCCATTAAGGAGTGCCTGGATTTTGCATCTCAGGTTCTTGCACACGCTGGGAGGCAGCAGGTAGGGAGACCTGGGGTGAGTTCTGGGCTCCTGGCTTCAGCCTGGCCCTGTTCCAGCTGTTGTGGGCATTTGGGGAGGGAACCAGCAGATGGAGGCTCTCAGTCTCCGACTCCTTCTTCTGTTGGTTCACCCCCAAATAGCTGCTACGGCTGGAACTACACCGATCCGAAGCCAGGAGCCAGGTGCTTCTGCCTGGTCTCCGACACAGGTGCAGGTGCCCAAGTACTTGGGCCATCCTCCACTGCATTCCTGGGCCACAGCAGAGAGCTGGCCTGGAAGACGAGCAACCGGGACTAGAACCCGGGGTGCCGGAGCCGCAGGCAGAGGATTAGCCAAGTGAGCCACGGCACTGGCCCCTCTGCCTTTCAAATAAATTAAAAAAAAATATTACATTACATTTCTAAGAGCACTCAATACTTTGGAGCAGTTCCACTTAGGTGGATCATAGGAGCTACGAGCACAATCCATGACTAAGGTTTAAGCACCCTTACGGAGCCCCCAGGAAGCTGCCCAGAGCACAGCAGACCCCCTCAGTAGTTAGGAACTGGCAGGACTGGGGTGATTCTTGTAGCCAACTGGCAGTCCCAGGTTGTGCTCACATGACTGCTAGTGTAGATCACCCATTATCTCAGACCAGCTCAAGGCTTTATCCCTAAGCAGCATTTTCAGGGAGAGGGATGCAGTGTTTGAGTCAACTCAAGTTACAGACGTATCTGAATACTGTTTAGTACTTCCTTGTGTTACAGTCGAGTACATGGGCTTTCAACATTTCTATCCAAGATGAGTTTCACTTTTCAATAAAACATAGCCCTTGCACATATCAGACTGCTCTTACATGACCGCACTAACATTTTCTAGGTACAAATGTTTGCTTTTTCCCCCCGATGTTCAGATTTCATCCAGGGCTACTCGTAAACTGACTCGTTTTTTCTGTATCTGCGATGACTTGGAGGTGAAAGGGAAGCAGCTGTTTACTGGCCCGACACAGCCAGGCTGCAGAGCTGTTAGGGCCGACCTGGGCTCACAGCTAGCCAAGGAGTTCTGCTGGACACAAATCATTTCATCAAACAAGGTCACTCACGGACTGTGATGGAAGTGAGACAAACACGACAAGGCCACTTGGTGATTGTGATGAAGTGAGACACACGCGCACAATCACCTCACAATTTTGTTTAAGCACAAAACAAGGTCAGTGTGCAAACCACAAAACAGCGAACGTCCCCCTCTCCCGGCTAACAAGCAGCGGCTGCTTCATCGCCAAGTGCCTGCCCAGCTAGTGCGCTGCAGCCTGCCTTCCTGGAGGACTAGGGAAGACCAGAGTCCCGGTCCTGCTTCCCCCGACAGCATCCGCGCCACAGGAGCAGCCGCGTCCCAAAACTCACTCAGCCAAGCCCCTGTCCTCCACGTGCTTTCTACCGTGCTCCTGGGAACACACACAACTTCCCGTGGTGTGCCCTCTCCCTACCGCAACGAGCATGCAATTCAGCTTGTTCTGTACATGTGTGTGGCTGCAGGTCTTCAGCTGGAGTGCACTAAGACACCCGATGTCTACAGTTTTCCCAAATTCAACCTGGAGATACTTGGCACGAAGGAAGGAATAAAGTCAGTGAAGATTTCACTGGTATCCATGACCACATTCTCCCCTTAATGCTCATAAACCATCTCTTTTAATAATCCAGAATTTTGCCAGAAAACCAACATTAAGCTTACCAATGTGGTGTTTCTAAAACCCATCAACAGTGTTTTTCCCCTTTTAGTCTTTTTAATGGCCAGCCTTGACCTAGCCCACCATCTTCAACCTCAGACGTTGTAACCTGAGTGATCAACCAGACAAGAGAGCAAGAGGTAGCAGGAGATACTACGGGGGAGCACAGCACACGGCCGCTCTCTCTACCCCCAGGTCCGCTGCCCCCATTAAACTAGGGACACCTGAGTTGTTTCCCCTCCATCAGCCGTGAGCTGAGGAGGAGCTGATGTTTGGCTATTGGGGCTCTTGGCCTTATTGACCCATAAGTGGATTTAAAATCTCTGGTCCTGTGGAGACAGAGGTAAGAAAGGGACAAATCCTGGGGACTATGTCCCAGAAGGACTCCCTCTTCCCAGCACCTCCCAAGCCTTGGAGGCTTAAGGCATTGGCCACTGAGGAAAGGACGAACAGGAGGGACTTTAACTGCCATCAACACCGAGCAAAACAGCCCCTTGCCCTGCTCTGAGTAAGAGAAGGCTCTGTCAAGTACGTAACATCCCGGCCCCATTCCTCACCACGTGTACCCTTCTTAGACCTGCCCCCCTCAATGACCCTAGGAGCCCTGGTTACTAAGGCAACCTGGGAACAGCACATGCAGACAGAGACCAGAAACAGATGGCACTATTTTTAAACTAGACCTGGTGGCTCCAATGCTTTTACCCCACAAAGTGCCTTCCCCAAAGCCCCATCTGGTCATCTTCTGGGTCCCTACCCTTCTTCATTGGCCTCCATACAACTTGCCCAGGCAAGGGGAGGGTGGGGTCTTTATCCCATTTTGGCACGGGATCTGCTTACTGCTCCCAACTTCCACACAGAATATCTAACATGTTTTCACTGCCTCCATTAGTTAAAAATAATTGTTATTTTATTTCTTTGGGAAAGTATTGGGCCCTGCCCTATCCATTTCCACACCAAACTAGGGTGATGAGCACTCCCCTAGTCTTTGGGCTGGAGTACTATGGTCCCAGCCTTCCCAGGGGCCCAGGAGCAGCTCCTGTATTGTCCAACCCAGCTGGGCCCCAAACTGTCTGAAGGCTCCAGCCAGGCCTTCTCCTCCGGCCACCCACCTCCCAGTGCTTCCTGGTCCTCCCTCTGGGCAGGGCATCTGTTTTCTTCCAAAACCACTGCTGACACCTGTGCTGTGCAGAAGCGAGGACAAGATCAGGGATGCCCCCAACTCCCACAGAACACAGCCCTCAGTCCGCCCTTCCTCTCTGCTGGCTTCAGTCTCTACTCCTGAGCAAACCCCACTGCAGTGAGGCTTGAAGGAGACGGACAAGAGAACCCGCCTGTGGGAGGTGAGAGAACACACCAGCCCAACCTCTCCTCAGAAGCATACTCCTTAGTCTCTCGTCCTAGTTCTTGAGCCCTTCAGACAGGGCCTGGGAGGGCCAGGCGAGGGGGTAAGGACCCCTCCACCCCAGGCCTAGGAGGCTACACCAGGGGAGTGTCCATTAGGCCCATCAGTGTGGCATGGCCGTGATGCGCATGCTCTGGGAAGCGATAGGGTAAGTCACCATGGGCGTGGTGGTGTGGCTCATAGTGATTCCTGCCAATGGCTGGGCCATCGACACGGCCACAGGAGCCACAGGAGCCACAGAGACAGCCACAGGAGCCATGGAGACAGGTGGGGGTGCCATTCCCTGGGCAATTGTTTGGGCCAGAGCAGCTGACAGTGGCGTGATCTCTGGGGTCAAGTGTGGGGGTGGGGGTGGTGGAGCAGCAGGAGGTGCAGCATTAGTTGGGGGAGCAGCTGGAGCTCCAGCAGGGGCCACCAGTTCTTGTTGGGAAACAGGACGAGGCTGTAGCGCCTGGCTGCTGAGAGTAGTGTGCGTCTGGGCGATGCCATGGTTAAAAGTGGCAACAGTACCCACGGTGGGGGCTAGAGTTTGCTCAGTTGCTGGTGCAGTGGAGCTCAGGGTCATGACCTTGGCCTGGTTGCGGAACTGGGCGTTCTGTTCCAGGAGTACCTCGTTGGTGGCCAGCAGGTTGCTGACCTGCTTCTTGAGCTCCTCCACCCGCTTCCTGAGCATGGCATTCTCCTCCTCCAGCAGCCTGCACTCCACTCCGCGGGCTGGAGCCAGGCTGTACTCATAGGACTCAAAGTGCGGGCCGTCGGCAGGGCAGCAGCCACCTCGCCGGCGCTTGGGGCCCGGCTCATGGTCCTCAAAGCCCCGGTCGGGAAGGTCATAGATTATGTCATAGAGATCGTGACGTCGGCCGGGGGGCACTGAGCCTGTGGAGCCGCCCCCGCCAGAGCCGCCTGCGCTCCGAGCATCAAATTCAAAATCCCGCTGCAGGTGGCGGAACTTGCACTTGGCTCCTCTCTGACAGTCACCCTTCAGAAAGTCCCGGCAGATGGGGACCTCCTCCTTGCCATTTGGTAGGTCAGCCGGTGAGAGGCCCAGGCCGGCTGCCACTTTCTGCCTCAGCCGAGGGGGAAGCTCGCCTGTCTTTTTATAGCCATCCTCATCCTCCTTGGAGCCGTGGATGAAGCGGCAGTTTGGGCGACTGCACTCCTTGTTCTGGAAGTCGTGGCAGAAGATGAATTCATTTTTGCTCACCCCCAGGTTGGACACCTCGCTCATGTCTGGGTGGCGGTACCGGCAGCGCTTGCCTCGCTTGCACACATTCCTCAGGAAGTCTCTGCAGATGGCGTCCGAGCTGGCCCCGCCACCGCCTGCCCCTGCTCCACTGGCCTCCTCGCCGCCACTGCCTCCAGGGCCTCCCCCGCTGCTCCCAGTGCCGTTGGCATAGCCGTCCCGGTCGGGCATCCTGGTCCCCCCCAACTCAGGGCTTTCTTCCTTTCCTTGCCACTCTTGGTGACTGCTGAAAAAGAGGAAAATCGTGTCAAACAAGAGTCCTCCAGAGAGACTGCACGCCTTCTGACTACAGACAGGCAAGCCGGTAGGGCAGTGGCTTTACAAGTGAAGAACTGAGGGGATGAAAATTCTGTCTGGACTGGCTGACTGGTCAGAAGTCCCGCCCAGATCCTTGTGCACCTGGTCTGGTCAGGATGATTCACACTTGCCTGGCTAACGGAGGAGAGGGAGTTAGGATAAAGCCACCTCATCTAATGATGCGCCAAGAAGGGGGCAGGGAGAGAACAGTGTTAGATTTTATCTTCCCTTCTGAGCTGACCTTATTAAAGTTGTGGGTGTGCAATTAAAACTGCTACCAGTTTGAGGAGGGGGAACAGAGAACGGTTAACAGCTGAAGAGGACGAATAACTTCTAACTTTCTAAAGCACAGTAGGGTAACTAGAGTTGCCCGCAATCATTTCAAAATAGAGAATTTATATTTGTTCTCAACACAAAGAAATGACACATATCTGAGGTGCTGGGTATGCCAACCACCTCGATCCGATCAATACACGCTCCATGTGTGTGGTGGAATGTCACACTGCACCATAAGTATGTGTAATTACTGTGTCAATTAAAAATATGTCTTTAATTAGAAAGGAGACTCAGAGGAAAAAGAAAACCTGTTCGTGCAGGAATGGGCTGGGAGGAGACTAGGAGTAGTGCCCAGGACGGGATGCTTAGCTACTGGGCTGTGGGTCATGTTCCCTGTACTCCCTCATCTGTGGGATCTCGGGTGAGGGCTCTGTCTCAGATCTCTACCACCCAACAGACTGGTGTCACCAGCGTGGGGACAGTTCCTAAACCTGTCTTCTTCAGTATTCTCTCCCTGCCCACCACTCCCCCCAACCGTACAGAGGGCAGCCTCTCCTCTCAGGGGAGCAGATCGCAAGCCGGAGCCTCCACTTCTAGACCCCCGGAACAAAAGGACCTGCGCCAAGGGCAAGGTGAGGGGGTTAATTTCACGGGAACAAGTGACCTTCCTTCCCCTATTCTCCAAGCCCCCTTTCTACCCACCCCCACCCCCGCCATGGGAAGATCCCACTGACATCAAACCACACCACGCCTTACCCCACAAAGATCCTCTTTATTTATAGACTCCATAAAAGCTTTTTAAGTCTCCTATTTCCCAAGAGAGCTCTGGAATGTCAGTCCACTGCCCTAGTTCTAGCCCTCCCTTCTCTCCACCCCCAGGAAGACTGGAAGTCCCTGCGACCACGTGTCTAACCTCCTGAACCTCTTCTCGGCAGTGTTCGGGCTCCCCCTGCTGTTCAAACAGGAGAACTCATACTGTTGCCCCGCGAGCATAAGGGACTCCTTCCCGATCCCTCGGGCCTTGACCTGTATCATACCTCACCGGATCCCTTGGCTTTGCCTTCAGATCTCCCAAAAGCAGGTGACCAGACCTGCGGCCAGAGTCACACAAGAAGCTCCAAAGGAAGTGGGCTCCTTTTCTTCCAAAAGGAGGCCGCCCCAGAACAACAGACACATTCAGAGAAGAGATAAAAGATACAAACTGCGTCCCCCAAGGGAAATGATTAGGCGAAGAACCAATGCCACTTCTCCAAGCCCGAGCCGCGCCGCAAGGCCCACCGGAAGCGGCTCCTTCCCTAGGACACGCCTCCCCACCCCTCTCCCCGCACTGGTACCTGAGGTAACTCAGGTGAACTCCGGGGCTCCTGTGGGTCTCCACCTCCACATCACTGCTGGGTTCTGAACAGGAGAGAACACAACAGAAACAGGCTTGGGTGCAAGAAAGGGAACGCGCGCAGGGCTACGGAGTGACGGGGGCAAGAACGCCAAGAGCCCGGGGAGCCTCCGCATTTCCTCGGGTTCACACCGAACTGCTCCAGCAGCAAGAGCGAGGCGGCAGAACGCATTCGGGGAGGCTGCACTGGGGTTCCGGCCCCCAGCGAACAAAGAGGGAGGGGCGCCCCGCCTCGAGACGAAGGAGGATGCGGGGGTAGGACCCGGCCCGGGACTGGAGTTCTGGAGGCGGAACATGGAGTCGTGGGAGGGCAGCAACTGACAGTGCGGCGGGACGGCCGAGCCGACTGGAGGGCGGTGACTCGGACGCTTTCCAGCACCCCAGAGTTGGAGGGAAAAGTCCTAGGAGTTTCCCGGCAGCAAGTCCTCCAGCCCGGCGGGCTCCGTGCAGCGCTGCCAGGACGCGGCGGCGGCGGCGGCCCGGACCAACAGGGCACTGAGAGAGCGCAAAGTGCGGCCGGGGCCGGGGCGGGGGGCAACGAGTGTTCCTAGGTGACATCAAGATGCGGGGATGGGCAGGGCTGTGACGTCACGGAGCTGGCGTTTGCTCGCGAAAGCGGGGTCCGTCAGAAAAGGGGCTCTGCCCTGGGCTTCCGTGAAACACAGCCAGCTCGGTCCTGGGGGGCCGCGTGTGCGTGTGGCCCGGCCGAGCGCGGCCACTAGGCCGACCTCGACTCCTCCCCTCCGGGCGCGGCCTCTACCTCAGCCTCCCGCCTCCCTCACCTGCCGCCGCCGCCGTAGTTGCTGCTGCCGCCTGCCGGTCCTCTAGCTTCGACAAAGAGCCGCCCACCCTACGGCTCTTCCGCTTCCTGCGGAAGAAGTGGCGCTCTAGCCGTCAGACCCGGAACCACACTCTATGGTGTGCGAGGGCCGAGCGACGAGCCGCAGGAAGTTCCCGGCAAGCTCCGCGCGTCACCATGGCAACCGACCACACAGCGTCGCGGCACTCGGGCCGCGCGACGGGGACCTCGGCAGAGGCCGGGGCGCGACGAGCACTCGGCCGTGAACTCGACCCCAGTCCCCGGGCGCGCTTTCCCACAGCTGCGGGGACGTCCACCGCCCCGCCCCGCAGACATCCTCCACGCCGACCCCCACCCAGCGGAGAAACCACGGACACACAAGTTTGGTTCTTCGGCTAGGACAGCAGAGGCTTTTTATTGTACGCGCGTTACACTCGGCCACAACAGAACAGGATTAGTCCAGAATGCCCGGCCCAGGGCGGCCTCCGGGGCCGTTTCGGTGTCAGCGGAGCGGTCTCCCAGGTGTTCGCAGCGATCCGGACGCAGCGGCTCGCAGTCCAACAGCTGCACCGGCGTCCCGGGACGGGCATTCCTCCTCCTGCCCCCGGCCTCACGCGCACACAGCCAGCGTCTACTTGGACCTCTGTCTCATCTTTCTTCTTTTGCGCTTCAGCCTGAAAAGCAAGAAGCGAGACTGCGCCACCTGCACACACACCGCAGACCTCACGTTTCCCTCCCCCCTGAAGTCGAACTCAAAGCGGCACACGCCGCGGCGCAATCAGCCCCCATCACGGCCCTTCACGTCCCCCCTCCTAAAGCCTTTCCGATTCCCAAGCCGAGCTGTTCCCGTCTCGCCCGGGTCGCGCCCCACTTCCCTCCCCCTGGGCTGGCGAAGTCCCGACGTACCTGCGCATTCGCTTCTTCCTCCACTACCGGCCGATCACAGGCAGGGAATGGAAAAAAGGGTTCGTCTTAGTAACAGGTCCAGGCAGAGAAGTGCGCTATTCAGCCGCGGAGAGTCTAGCTCGGGGACTCGGTCGCAGACACTGGGTAATACAGCCTCCGACCGCTCTCCCCCAAACGACTTCGCTGTTCCCTCCCTGCTCCTCCCGCAGACTAGCCATCCTCGCCCGCCAGGTCTCGGGAACCCTTGGGACGGCTTCCTTCTCCGGGTCGGCCCCCACTCGCCAACTCCTACCTCCCGAGCTCAATTCTAGGGGCCGCTCACCTTGGCTCTCATGGCGCGGAGGTCTCTACGGGGAAAGAGAAAAAGACTGCAGTTAGTCCGCTGTGATGATGGCAAGTGCACAGGTCAGATGTCAACGGATTGTTCGTGCGGCCCGAACACAACCAGCGTTGACACTCACCCAAGAAGATGGCGCTAAAGCCGAGAGAGCGAGCGAGTTCCGCCCGCGGCTATTTAACGGGGCGCTGCGTGTCGTCACTTCCGTCGTCCCGCCCTCCCGGGGCGGGGCTGCTTAGGGAGCGTAACAATGGCTTTCGGCCTCAGACGCCAGTGAAGTGGCGGGCCTGAATTTCCTGGGAAGCAGTGTTTTGATTTCGCGTTCCCAACCCACCCTGCTCTCGCCTGACTACAGAGACCTCGTCGTTTCTGCACGAGCACCTGTTTCCAACGGAGCTCCGAGCGGTGCAGATGGGAAACGGGCAGCAACTTCCGCTTTCCCTCGCATCGCTTCTTGGGAGTTGAAGTTTGTTGACGAAGTCCTCCATTTTATTCCGGATAGGTACGGACTGTAGAAATAAACTCCTAATTTCTCTTGCCGCCTTGCCTTATTTAAGTTAAACTACCGCAAGGAGATTCGGTCTTGGAACGTCCGAAGGCCGTAAGACTCTACCGCGTGGAAGGGATAGGAAGAGGGTAATCGGAGAGGCTATCGTACTACAAAAAAGATCCCCGTCCCTTTCCCTCAGAACTCTTGAGAAAATAACCCTCTCTGTGTAACTCTGACTTTCAAATAAATAAATCTTAAAAAAAATATACAATAACCGCAGTATGGTGTTCCCCACGTCACTAGAGACTCCCAGTCACACGCGCCGTCTGTCCCTAGCTAGGAGTGCTCATCTAACCGTGGGCAGTGGGGAGAAAGACCAGCTACGTCTTCTCCAGGCAGGCGTGATAGCGTTAAGGAAAAGAACTTCTCACCAGTGTTTTGGTACAGTCAGCTGAGAAGCACCAGAAAACAAACATCCCCAAAGATTTGGCCCCAGGAAATGTCACTAAAGCGTAAAAGGAACAACCATGCAGACTTCATGTTGTTTTAAAACACTGTGAAGATTTTTTGGTACAGTCCCTTCTTGGATATGATGGATTCTCTATAACTAATATTGCACTTTACTATAAAACAAGATTTTAAAAATTTAGGGTCCCAAATACCGTATGTTCTCTCTGACCTGTGATAACAGAACACCTAAAAGGCAATCTATAGTAAAGTGAAACTGACACTTTGAGAAGCAATAACTTTGAACAGCCCTTGTCTTGACTGTTGTGGAAGTTTTTTTTCCATACTATTTGTTGAACTCCTAACATAGTCATATGTGTATAAAGTTAATAGAAAATAGATGTTAGTAAAAAATAAGAATGGGAATAGGAGAGGGAGGAGGAACAGGGGTGAGAGTGTGGGTGGCAGAGCAGGTACGGTGGGAAGAACCACCATGTTCCTAAAGTTGTAATTATGAAATATATGAAGTTTGTGTTCCTTAAATAAAAGGTTTATGGGGGGTAAACAAAGGAACCCTTTTACATTGCTGGTGGGAATGGTAAGTTAGTACAGCAGCTGTGGAAAGTGGCATGAAGGGTCTGCAAAAATAGAACTGTCATAAGTCCAGCAATCTTGCTACTTGGTATATATACAAGATAAATAAATCTGTTGAAAGAAAAAAAGTCTAGGGTCCTAGTTCCAAATGTTTAAGTAGTTCTAACATTGCCACTGTGAGAATATGACCAAAAAAATCTATTTTTTTAGATTTATCTGAAAGGCACAATGAGAAAGGGAAAAACATCTTCCATCTGCTGCTTCACTTCCCAGATGCCCACAACAGCCAGAGCTGGGCCAGGTGAAACCAAGAGCCAGGCACTACATCCAGGTCTCCCACGTGGGTGCCAGGAACCACGTACTTGGGCCATCACTGCTGCCTGCCAGGTGCATTAGCAGAAAGCTGGATTGAAAGCAGTCATTGGGACTCCAACGTGGGATCCGAGTGTCCCAAGCTGCACCTTAACCTGCTGTGCCACAATGCCTACCCTGATAAATCCTTAAAAACCAACCAAACAAAAGCAAACAAGCCTTGCAGAATTATAACAAGACCACCAGAATTTCAACTGTTAATTCCCAAAAAGTCGATTTGAGGGTGGGGTTGGTGTTGTGGTGCAGTGGGTTAAGCTGCCACCTTCGACAACAGTATCCTGTATAAGTACCCAGGTCTGCTTCCAATCCAGCTCTCTGCTAACATGTCTGGGAAGGCGGCGGAGGTTGGCCCAAGTGCCTGAGCCCCTGCCACCCATGTGGGAAAAGCTCCTGGCTGTGGCCCAGCCCTGGCCACTGTGGCCATTTGGGGAGTGATTCAGCAGATGGAAGGCCTCTTTCCCTATCTTGCTGTCACTCTGCCTTTCAAATAAACAAACGCCATATAGGGATATTGCCATTGCAGGTGGCTTTACTAGCTATAACACCAGCCCCCAAGAAGCTATTTTCTAAGAACACTTAGGTTATAGCAAAAACTGAAAAGGCAGGTTATTTCCCACAGTTGCTGTCCTCCCCACCCCTGCCTGCCTCCTACATTATCTGCATTGCCACCACGGAAATACATTTGTAAATACCTGAGGACTGGGGCCAGCACTGTGGCATAGCCGCCGGCATCCTATATAGGCGCTGGTTTGAGTCCCAGCTGCTCTGCTTCAGATCCAGCTCCCTCCTAATGTGCCTGGGAAAGCAGGGGGATGCCTCACTCACGTGGGAGGCCTAAATGAAGTTCTGAGCTTTGGCCTGGCCCAGCCCATTGTGGCCATGTGGGGTGTGATCCAGTAGATGGGAAGGCCTCTGTATCCTATTAACTCTGCCTTTCAAATAAATAAATAAATAAAAAACAAACACATATAATGACAAGTCATCACTTGGAAGACCATAGTTTAGCTATGGGTATGGACAGATGTATAATGGAGAGGCATCAATGGGCAGATCAAGTTTTTAGGGCGAATTACTCCATGTGTTATATGAGAGATACTTATTCTATACTTGTTTTGTTCCAGTGAACTATGTCCAGGGCAGCAGTGCCTCACATGTAGGCATACACCCACATCTTAATGACCTACCCGATCTGTCTCGCCCTGAAACTAGCACTTCTTCCTGGTTTTTGAATCCAGATAAGCATGTGCAGTTGTTTATTGCAGTATGGGTGAACAAATGATGGCAACAAGGTGGCCGGCGCTGTGGCACAGCAGGTTAAACTGTTGCCTGTGCACTAGCATCTCATTTGGGTGGTGGTTTGAGCCCCAGCTGCTCCCCTTCAGATCTAGCTTCCTGCTGATGGCCTGGGAAAGCAAGGGAAGATGGCCCAAATAGTTGGGCCCCTGCACTCATGTGGGAGACCTGGATGGAGTTCCAGCCCCACCCATTGTGGCCATTTGAGGAGTGAACCAGCAGATGGAAGATCTGACTCCCCCTCTGTAACTGCCTTTTAGGCAAATACAGAAACTAGAAACAGAGGGTTTCTAGTTTAGAAAGTTAAATCACCAAGCTCCAATAGATAATTTACACTTCAGGGAATCCAGGATCTGTTTTCCACAAGGCCCCCTTGTTTCTTTTTTTTTATTTTTTTTTATTTTTTTATTTTTGATAGGCAGAGTGGACAGTGAGAGAGAGAGACAGAGAGAGAAAGGTCTTCCTTTGCCGTTGATTCACCCTCCAATGGCCGCCGCTGCAGCCGGCGCACCGCGCTGATCCGATGGCAGGAGCCAGGAGCCAGGTGCTTTTCCTGGTCTCCCATGGGGTGCAGGGCCCAAGCACCTGGGCCATTCTCCACTGCACTCCCTGGCCATAGCAGAGAGCTGGCCTGGAAGAGGGGCAACTGGGACAGAATCCGGCGCCCCAACCGGGACTAGAACCCGGTGTGCCGGCGCCGCAAGGTGGAGGATTAGCCTATTGAGCCACGGCGCCGGCTTGGCCCCCTTGTTTCTAAAAGGTACACTATGGCACTATAGCAGAACCATTCCAATCATTCCTGCAAACTGCACCCTACCCCAGGTAACAGCAGCATACAAAGGCACATCATTATGAGCAAATCCAAATTTATTTTAACTCCATGTCATTTTCAAGGTGTTTAAAAACCTCATAAGTTAGTGGGAGCCCTGGTTCCCTGGGACAGCATGCCAGAGGTACTGAAATTTGTCACCTTTCTCTACAACCCCCGAGCAATGCATCCAATCCAAGTCCAAAGCTCCAGAAAGCCAGGAGTTGTCTCTTCAGTCTACTCCTCTGGTTCCTGATTTTTCTTTCAAGGGAAGGAGGTCAACATATTTCAGACAGGGAACAAAACCACAGTTGAGCTTCCACCTTAGGTGTGTGTAAGATGGAGTGGGGAGATCCCACTGACTCCACAGAAAAGGACACGGTTGAGATGGATTACTTCTTTATAGCCTTGTGAAAATGGAGGAGAAAAAAAAAAAAAAAGATCCTGCAGAAAGTAAATGACTGAAAAATTTACAAACGAGGATCCATTTATTAGATAAGAATCTCTTCATAAATGGAGACTCCGGCCCCTAAAAATGGGAGGGGCCTGACGAGACAGCCTGGATCTGATGAGCAATCTGCCATCAGGTAAATCAAAATCTGAAGAACAGCTCCTCTTAATTTTGAGGCCAAACAAAATAGTAAGGGATAGTGGGAAAAGAGAATAAAGCCCCGAACAGATGGGGGAATGCTGCCATTGGAGTGGTATAAAAAATCTCGGCTGAGTTTATAATGGTGGCGGCTGATTTAGCCTCCTCCCTGTTCTGTTGTAGGGCCACAGACCTTGACCAAGCAGAGAATCGTAGAAAAGGCTAGAAAGAGGGGCTTGAAGACGGTGGATTTTGACTCCTGATTTTATTATCCAATTGCTTTTTCCTATTTAAAGTAGTCTTCGGCGGCTGGGAAGCCTGGCCTCCCGAGACCAGAGTCAGTGGGAGCCGGTGGTTGTTGGAAGGGGCTGGGGTGGGGCTGGGGTGGGGCAGGGAAACCCTGCTCTGCTGGCGGTCCTGGGTGGAGAAGACGAACCGCACTTCAGAGCCCGGGGTGCAGTGGGAAGGGGATGAGGCAGGAGCAGCAAGCTGGGGTACGGGACCCACCTCAGTCCCCAGCCTCATTTTCTTCTAACGTCTCCCCACTGGTGGCATTCTCTGCAGTCTTGGAGGCCTACGTGGGAGAAAAGGAGTGGGAGAAGACTTGTCAGTTCTTACTCGGGAGTGGTGGCCCAGCTAAAGACAGGGCTGAGGAAAACTGTGGAAAATCCACACGTAGGCCACGGGGACGACCACAACACACCTTCTTTTTCTTCTTTTTCTGGGTTTTCCGACTTGCGGAACTCTGGAGGAGGGCCTGGAAAACAGGAGAAGGCAACAGCTGTTGAGGCAAGAGGAGGCAGCACCAGCACAGAGGGTGACTGAAGGTGCCCTAGCTCAGGACCCCGCTGACGCGGGGCCCACTCCCAGCCCGGCGCCACACTGCCACCACCTCCCGTGCACACTGACCTTCAGCTCTGCGTCCTGGACCTCCAGCTCCGACTTGTAGAGGTCGGGCTCAAAGGGACCACTGGTTATCCTCATGGGGCCGTTGGGCATGAGCAGAACTGTAAATTTAAACTGGGCAACAAATTCACCTGAGGGAAAAACGAGGGTGTGCTTTGAAAAAACTGTTCCTTTGTCATACTGAGCCTCTCTCCTCAAGTTCCTGGGAGAACAGTATCATGTACTCAGGGCCCCAGAGATGCCCTCCCCGCAGGACTCACCCTCCTTCTCATAGAGAACATTAAACGGCTGCAGCAGTTCGTGTTTGGCACATTCCACCACACCCATCCGAGCCTTCTTCTCATCTTCAAATGCTCTGGGTAGGGGAAGAAGGAATTCAGAGGTATCCTTAACTTCTCATCAAGTCTTACCACTTTGCCCATGTTTTTAAATAGCTCCTAGCCTCAGGCCAAGATCATGCTAAGGATTGCTCTTTTACATTACCTTCAATGAGAAGGCGATGGGGAGAGGAAGGGAGAGAGCAGGTGCCCACGAGCATGAGCTACAAGTCTAGGCAGGAGAGGAGAGGGAGGGAGGGAAGGGGGAGGCAAAAGTGTTGGTTCCTGGGAGCATGGTCTGTGAGTCAGACTGGTTCCAAGTCCCGTCCTTGTGAAGTGCAGTACCTTAAGGTAAATGGCATGGCATCAAAACGCCTCTCCACCTCACTGAAGAAGGCACGTGAGGTTTTCATTTTCAGGCCGTATTGTTTAGATGGGTCTCGTTTGTAAATGGTGGTTCTCTGTCCTGCATCCTTGGCCTGAAAGAGTTAAGTCAGGGCAAATGAGGTCTGGCGAACACACCCTCAGACACCGAGCCCAGGGAACTCTGGGACTTTCCTCACCTTGCCCTCTCCTGAGCTGACGAGGACATCCACAGCATATACTTCGTGCACCTCGAATTCAGCTTTTTCATGGTCCTTCCTAGAAGGAATGGAGAAATGGGGAGCCATTAACAAGAAGTAGCTCCTGGGCGTCTGGAGTAGAAGGGGGATAAGATCAAGCTGGGAGCAAGTACAAAAAAGAGGGTGACTAGTCTGATGGGGCTAAGGATGAGCAGTGAGCTGGCACCTACTTCTGCTGGTCTGTGGGATTCTGGATAATGGTTTTCTCTCCATCGATGACATGCTGCTTCAGTTGGTGGGACAGCATACCTGCAGACAGGACAGGACTATGGCTATCAAGAATCCCCAAAGGTTTCCAAATCCACCCACCTAACTAGTTTGATGGAGCAGCCAATGAGGAAGGTGTTTGGCTATGGAAACACAGGGGCTGGAGGGAGGTTTCTGGCTTAGACTGAGCTGGAGCAAAAGCCTTCATTCTGCTAACTCAGTCTTTTTAGGCTCTTACCTTCAATTGGTGTGCAGTTAAATGAGTGGGCAACCTTGTTCCAAGCTTCTGTCACCTGTGTGTTCTGGAAGTACAATATACAATGTCAAATAAAAGGTATGATGCCAGGGACTAATCAAGTTCTCTACCAGGAGAGGAAAAAGCATAAAAGAACTGAAGAGTTCTAATATCCCCCCGCATCAAGTGCCAATAATTTTCTCTCACTGATTTTTCATTTCACAGCCTTATCCCTACAAAGTAAAAATTCCTGAGATTTGCAAATCATTTTACAAAGTGCATTAGCAGGGGCCAGCGCTGTGGCGCACTGGGTTAAGCTGCTGTCTGCAGTATCCCATATGGGCACTGGTTTGTGTCCTGGCTGCTCCACTTCCAATTCAGCTCCCTGCTAATGCACCTGGGAAGCAGTGGAAGATGGCCCAAGTCCTTGGGCCTCTGCACCTGCATGAGAGACCTGGATAAAGCTCCTGGCTTTGGCCTGGCCCAGCCACAGCTGTTGCAGCTATTTGGGGAGTGAACCAGAGATGGAAGATAGCTAATTCTGACTTCCAAATAAAAATAATGATAATAATAAAAGCAAAGTGCAGTAGCAAAGATTGTCCAATTAGATGATCTAGATAAGAAAACTGAGATTCAGAAAAGCTAAATGATTTGCTCAAGGTTAAAAAAGTATTAAGTGGAGGCTGGTGCCACGGCTCACTAGGCTAATCCTCCGCCTGCGGCACCGGCACCCCAGGTTCTAGTCCCAGTCGGGACGCTGGATTCTGTCCCAGTTGCTCCTCTTCCAGTCTAGCTCTCTGCTGTAACCCGGGAGGACAGTGGAGGATGGCCCAAGTCCTTGGGCCCTGCACCTGCATGGGAGACCAGGAGGAAGCACCTGGCTCCTGGCTTCGGATCAGCGCAGCGCGCCAGCTGTAGCATCCACTTGGGGGGTGAACCAATGAAAAAAGGAAGACCTTTCTCTGTCTCTCTCTCACTGTCTAACTTTGCCTGTCAAAAATAAATAAATAAAATAAAAAAATTTTTAAAAAGTATTAAGTGGAAAAATATGAAGTCTAGGTTTCTAATGTAAAGTCAGTGTTTACTCCTTTATACCTGGTGTTTCACCTGTTGAGGGGAGAGAGCACACCCTTAATTTTCCTTTGTGGTACAATCTGATCCTCATCTAAGCTACTAACTCTAAGTCAAATGAGTAATTAATCATAGCTAATATTTATTGAATATTTATGTGCCAGGTCCTGTGAGAAGCACTTTATATGGATCATCTCAATTATTTGAATCCTGAAAGAAGGCACAATTTTATTTTTCCCATTTTACAGATGAGAAAATTTGAATTAACTTCTAAAATAGTAAGAGTTGGCAATATGGTATGGACCCAGACTGATTTCATAGCTACATGCTAGCCACTAAGCAACTACTTTCCTGTAAGATGGACAGTAATCATAATAAAACTAAACATGTGAGGTAACAGAGCACTCAGGTGTTTAGGATGCCTGAGGCCCTGTCCAAAAGGCTGTGTAACAACTTTATGGAATAGGTATCACTGTAAAGAAACTAAGAGGATTAAATAAAAATAATGCAATTAAGTGGTGACAGGGGTTCCACCGTGGCCTGTGGAAGGGAGTCGGATGCTCCCCAGATCTTGGCAAGAGCAGAGCAAGTATTCTGTACTCTTGCCACCTACGATGAGCATGAGAACTCGCCACTCATTGTGTGGCTGCTTCTCCAAGAGTGGAATGAACTAAGAAATTACAATCATAGATGATGGGAGCCCAGATGGAACGAGAGATGTGGCTGAACTGCTGGAGAAGATCTATGGGCCAGACAAAATTCTTCTGAGGTCTCAAGAGAAGTTGGGACTAGGAACTGCATACATTCATGGAATGGAACATGCGATAGGAAATGACACCATCATAATGGATGCTGATCTTTCACACTATCCAAAATTTATTCCTGAATTCATCAGGAAGCGAAAGGAAGGAAATTCTGATATTGTGTCTGGAATTCACTACAAAGGAAAGAGAGGTATATTTGAAAAGAAAAATGATCAGCCATGGGGGCAACTTTATTACTCAGATTTTACTGAGACCAGGAGCATCTGTCTTATCTAACAGGAAGTTTCAGATTATAATGAAAAGAAGTTCTACAAAAATTAATAGAAAAATGTGTTTCTAAAGGCCATATCTTCCAGATGGAGATGACTGTTTGGGCAAGACAGCTGAATTATACTGTTGCTGAAGTTCCATTATCATTTGTGGATTGTGTTTATGGTGAATCCAAGTTGGAAGGAAATGAAAACAGTCTCTTTCTTGGAGACTCTTTTTGCTGCTACATAAAAGAAAAGTTATTTCTTTATGCTTATCAAGTTCATTTCCATTTAAACACGCAAGAAGCCTGATTACTGCTGTCTGTAAAATGTACTCCTAAAGCATCAATGATAAAGTGAATTCCATGCAGATATATTTTCTGGAGAAACTCCAATTTATATTTCAAATTAAATAATTTCAAAGCTCCTGGCTGAATAAGCAATGTTCTCAGTTTTCATTTATGTTTTGTGGTATTAAGACCTATGAATAAATGTATATGGATATTTTTGCATTAAAAAAGTGGTAATAGGAATAAAGTCTAAATTAAAAGTGTGAAGCATGGAAGAACACAGAAAAGGAGAAAAAAGATGCTTTAAATACTGAATGGGCCTCTGGAAATTTAAATTTAGAGAATTGTGTCCACTGACGATCTAAAGTGTATAATTCTGTTAGTCTATGAGAACCTTAGGACTTCTGGGCTTCCTAATTGTCATGCAGAGTCAGCGCTAACTCTGGACCAGCCCACTGGTATCGTCATCTCATTCCTATCTTTTTTTTTTTTAAGATTTATTCTTTTTTTTTACTTGATTTTTTTTTTTTTTGGACAGGCAGAGTGGACAGTGAGAGAGAGAGACAGAAAGAAAGGTCTTCCTTTGCAGTTGGTTCACCCTCCAATGGCCGCCGCGGCTGGCGCACCGCGCTGAGCCAAAGGCAGGAGCCAGGTACTTATCCTGGTCTCCCATGGGGTGCAAGGCCCAAGCACTTGGGACATCCTCCACTGCATTCCCTGGCCACAGCAGAGAGCTGGCCTGGAAGAGGGGCAACCGGGACAGAATCCGGCGCCCCGACCAGGACTAGAACCCAGTGTGCCGGCACCACAAGGTGGAGGATTAGCCAAGTGAGCCGCGACACCGGCCCCATTTTTTTTTTTTTTTTTACTTGAAAGGCAATGTTACAGAGCAGGGAGAAAGAGGCAGAGACGGCAAGCTTCTATCTGCTGGTTCACTCCCCAAATGGCTGAGATGGCTAGAGCCAGGCCAATCTGAAGCCAGGAGCCAGGAGCTTCTTCCAGGTCTCCCACATGGGTGCAGGGGCCCAGGACTTGGGCCATCTTCCACTGCTTTCCTAGGCACATTAGCAGGGAGCTGGATTGGAAGTGGAGCAGCCAGGTCTCAAATGGAGCAGATATGGGACGCTGGTGCTGTAGGCAGAGGCTTAACCCACTATACCACAGCACCAGCACCCTATCCTTTTTCTGACTTTTGTTTTATAAAGGCTTTAAAACTGAGTTTGTAAGGTACTTAGCTCAAGTTATTTTGGGGACAGATGCACATACAAAACATGAAAAGAGGGGCAAGCATTTGGTTTAATAGTTAAGATGCTGCATGAGACACCCGCATCTCATTTCAGAGAGCTTGGATTCAAGTCCTGACTCCCTTCCTACTAATGTGCACCCTGGGAGGCAAGGCAGCAGGTGCTGGCTCAGGTCTCAGGGTCCTTATCACCCAAGACTGAATTCCCAGCTTCCAATTTTGGCCTGGCCCAGCCCCAGCTATTGCAGGCACGTGGGGAGTAACCAGTGAACAGTGTTTGTGTGCCTTTCAAATGAATAAGGTAAATACCATGAACAAAGAAAAGAAGGATCTCTACGTGCAGTTAAGGAAGAAACCATCACTCTGTGCACCTAGCACAGATCTGTCTGCTGTTGAGTGTCAAGCGCTTAGTTCCTGCCTCTTCTCTACAAGAATTCCCATCCTAAGACACAGCTTATTTTAAAAGGCTAGTTTTTAAATAGGGGGTGTGGGGGAAGTTGGCAGTTCTGTCCAGAGTGGCTACAGGTACCTAACGCATCTCGGGTTCTCTCTTTAGGGCTGGATAAAACAGCTTACCTGATTTCCAGGTTTGACCAGGCGCAGGGCAGCCTCAGCACAAAGGTGAGCTGCCTTAATGACATCTGCTTTCCGCCCTGTCACTTGGGTCCCCTGTGGATAAGGAAACCCATTCAGAGAAGCTGGCTAACTCAGCCCACCATGTGGGTAATATTTGTGCACCCAAGCCAATGAACATTAAAGAAAAAGTGTTTCTCTAGAGAATTCTGTAGACTCTCCCCAAACATGGTGGTAGGGGATAGGGCTGAGGCAACTGCAGTGCACACATACTCTCGCCCCCTGCAAACGAACCCCAGCTGGAACAGAGTTCAAAAGTAGGCCACCTACCTGAGCTACACCGACCACGAAAGTGTGAGCCACATTCGCGATAAAGCCATCCACATGGACCCCAAGGTCACTGAAAGGCAAGGGCAGAGTACCACATTAGGAATGGCATAGTGCAAGTACTTGGGAAAGAGAAACGCTCTAAAATGGCTTAGCCTTACATTTTTACCAAGTCACCTTCCTTGAGAATATAGTCCTGGTCACTCTTCAAAGGCGAGAAGTGACACACACAGTTATTTACTGAAATGCTGGTAGGAAAGGCAATACCTGTAAAGACAGAATCGTTAGCCTTACTGCCTTGCTCTCTCTCTTGCTGCCCTTCAGAAAAAGGAAAAACTTTCTCAGGGACTTTAACCACGTTGGATTGGGTAGGGCACTGCTTGTATCCCACTTGCCATTTCAGATCTCCAAATATCCCACCCAGGGCTGGGTGGGGTTTGCATCATTATAATGGGAAAAAAAAAAAAAGAACCAGATAAGGGCCAAGCTTGGAAAACTAGTGAGAGGTGTTTTGTTGTTGTTGTTGTTTTTTTTTTTTTTTTTTTACCTTTTTTCATCTCCTTTTCTTTTTTGAAGATCTTCCCTGTCTCTTCCATGATCATGGCATCACCCTTCTCACACAGGCTCAGCACGGACACACCTGAGCTGGATGCTTCCACCAAAGACCGAAGTACCCCTGGGGACAGAATCCCACCACATCAGCCTGGCACGTATTTACTGTCTGCTGACCACCCTGGTATGTAAGCTGGACTCGGAACTTCTAATTCCCAGCGCTAGCCCCCTGAGGCTGAGAGAGGAAACCTGAGTCTTGCTTCTTGGAATGTATCTACCTATAACCTCTAATTTCTACCCTCCTTTCCTAAAATAAAAAAGGCCAACCCCTCCTTGTCTCCCTTACATTATGTGACAACTGGCTACACACAACATCTTCTTAGACAAACTTGACTGTCCAAAGGCACCTTGGGCCTGGCAGAACACAGTTATGAGCTGCAGAGGGTTCATGCCGAGGTGCCCCACATACATGCAAAGTAGACTACAAGACATTTATGGGCGTCAGGGACACAGAATTGCTGACTCGAAGCTGATGCATTGGGAAATTGTTACCTTCCTGTCTTCTCACACATCACTAATTAGGTGTTGGTAATCGCAATTTATTTAAATTTATTCCCTCATAAACATATGTAGGAACTAAGGGGGCTATTCAGAAGTCTCTGGGCTTCAGGGGGCTCGTGGCTTTCAGCCTGCCGTAGATCTAAAGGGATTAGTGACCCTGAGATTTCAAAACTGATATCTGAGATCACAAATGACTCAAATTATAAACTGCAAGAAAGAAGAAGAAACATTTCTTTTAGTTCAAATCACTAGTATCGAAAACTAAAGTACACCCAGGTCAAGGCACTACACTACACGTCCACTGAGCCACTTTTGAGAAAGCATTGTTCTGTTCACACCCTCTCCGTGATCCATCCAGAATTTCAGGTTTGATTTTTGAGGTCTCAGTTTTGGATTAACTGGAAGTTAGAACAACCCAGGTCTTCGGCTTCAGAGCCAAAGGCACCCTAAAAACCTCTTCCTATCTTTACTATTAAGACCATATAGAAGCTCAGACGAGTAGCTTCCAACTCTCTCAGTGGGTTTTAAAATGGAAAGGTGAACTGGAAAGAGAGAAAATAGAAAGTGAGACATCTGCCTAGAGTGGCAAACAACTGCTGAGAAGTCGGAGCAGGGCTCGAATGATGACCGGTGACAATCCTGAAGCCGGTCCCGCGGCCACACCGCTCACCAGCCCGCCTAGCTGGGGCCAAGGGCAACCTCAAAACCCTCCTCCGAACTCCAGCAAGTCCCCGGAAACCAATCCGAGGGCTGAGGCTTTCTGCACAGATTGGAAAGGTGGTAGTAACCAACAACTTCGAGAACACACAGACGAAGTCCCCAAGAGTTGCGTTAGAAGGTCCAGGGGTGCCCTCCAACGGCCCCCTGAGCCGGCCCAGGGTGAAAGGGGGCCCTCGCCAGGGCGAGCGACGAAGTAAAGGAGGAAGACTCCAGCAAAGCACGTGGTGGGGAGGCTGGTGTCAGGGACCGCGGCGGCGGCAGGAGGGACCCGGCAACACGTGCCAGCCCTGCTCCTGACGCTCAGGAGCCGCAACAAAACAGAAGGGCGCCTCTGTCGCCAACAGCTGGGCGCTTCCTCTTCGAGGCGACCGCCGAGACCCGGACGGAGGAGTGCGGGCACCGAAGAAAACGCGCCTTGCCTCCTTTACCAACGGCCTAGGCTCGAAGTCTGCCCGGGTCCCTCTCTCTGCCCTCTCCCCGGTCGCCGGCCCGCACCCACAGACTCCAGTCCAGGCCTGGCCACTCCGGTCCCGGGCGCGACACTGGGTCTTCCCACCACGCCGACTCCAGCGGACCGATACGGACCCCACCGGAGCTCACTCCGCAGCACCCTACCGCGCCAGCCCCTCAGCGGTCTGCCCAGCACCTCTCCCTCCCAGACTCGATTCCGGACCCCCCGAGGCCGCACTCACGGTTGGCGATGTCGCCCCCCATCTTATACTTGGTCACGACCAGGTCCTCGGCGATAGTTTGCTCCTGCTGCTCGTCCTCGCCCGACATCTTCCCACCACCACCACTGCAGCCTCGTTTCCCCTGAGCCGCCGCCTCTGTCGCCCTCCCCAGCCGCAGGCTGTGGTCAGAGCCCCCACGATCCGCGAGGAGAGCGCGAGCGAAAGCGCGAGCAAGCAAGGCAGCGGGCGGGCGGGCGAGCGAGAGCGAGAAGCTGCGAGCGCGCGGGCTGAGGCGCAGGGTACGCCGGGACGACGAGTCCTTTCCGCCGCCACCCTCTAGCCGTCCTCGTGGTCGCTTGAACTACAATTCCCAGCCTGCCTCTCGCGCCCCTAAGCCAGGCCCTGGAGCCTTGCCCTCCAAGGGCCTCGCACGCCGGAATCGCCGGGCACGCTGGGAAGGGTCAGGCTCCGGCGGGAAGGCGGAGCTGTTGGCTAGCTGGAGGGGAAGCGTGGTCTCTCCGGGAAAAAGTCCATCCACCAGGAGTGCTGAGCCCGAGCTCGTAATAGAGAAGGGGGGCGGGCTGAGGGATTAGGGGCGGGGCTTCGAAGGGGAAAAGGGTTTGGCTGCGGCGGGGCGGCGTGGAGCAGGGTGGAGCCGAGGTCGGTGTGCTGTGTGTGCACCTAGGGCGGGGGTGCTGGGTACGCCGGCTGGGGATCCCTGGGTCGGCTGGCGGGACCGGCCCGGCCGGTCCAATCGGCTCCCAGTGCTGAGGGAAGGAGCAGAGCGGACGTGGAAGACCGAGGAAGCGTGTTGGGAACTGGGTCTAACTAGGCAGCGGGAGATCATCCACTCACGCCCTCCCGACCTAGAGGCACTGTTCTTCCAGCCGTGGCCTTGAATGGGGCCCCCACCTAAGGAAGTGCTCGCAGAGAGTTGGTGGCTCTCTTAAGAGAATGAGTTTTGAAGCAATTTAAAGCTTTCAATTTTCGCATCCATAGGGCATTTTCTAACTTCTCCAAGCATTTGTGGGATTTTTTTTTTTTTTAATCCTACTTGCCCTGTAATTTCTAGTACAACCCCTGAATGAAAAGGACTCTGCCCTATGCCTGGAGAAAGCTGAATGGGACGAACAGGGCTGTCGGGAGACAGAAAGGTGGCTGTCCACTGTTGCACTCAAAGAGGTGGCCTCTTAATCAGTTTCCTTCATTTGACAAACAGAAAGCTGAAAAAAACTTTGGCATTTTTATTCAGACATGTATAAAAACAACAAAACACTTCAATGATATAACAGACATTTGCCCCAGTTCCCCTCCCAAGGGGATGGAGGTCTAAAGCAGGGTCCTGTCTCTCCCACCTGGAAGCGTCTCACCACTGGAGGAGAACAGCTCCTACAGGTGGGCCTGGGGACCTTTGTGAGTCTGCCCTTAGGAGTGATCACGAGAGTTACGGTTTATGCAAAAACATCCAGTTATTTTTCCTTCCTACCCCCTCACCCCCACCACTTCCTGAGATGAGAAGTCTGGGTGTAGAGGAGGGTTAAACTTGATTCAGTGCAAAGAAAAAAAAAAAACACACACACACAAGTAAAATGCACCTTACAAGGGCTCTCTGACTTATCTGTTTTCCATGACAGCTTACAGTAAGAACACGTGCATTCTGTTGGGAAGATTTTGAAACCTGGACCTGTTGCTTAATTTACCCAGTCTTTAAGGCTCAGTCCCCCTGATCTGCTGTCTTTCCACAGCTTGTTACCTGTGGTTAACTGCAGTCCAAAACAATTACATGGAAAATCAACAATTGATAAGTCTGAGTAGCATGATGAAATCTTAGCACCATCCTGCTCTTCCTCTGTCCAGTGTAGTCGTCCCTCACTGCCCTTAGTCCCTCGGTAGCACTCTCGCTTATCAGATCTCCTGTTGTGGTATCCAAAAGTGGCTGTGTTCTAGGAACCCTTACTTGTTTAATGGTGATGCAGGCAATTCACATCGACCAAAGAGAAGTGCTTCCGTTAAGTGAAAAGGTGAACGTCTTCGTAAGTAAAGGAGCCAAAAGTGTACGCAGAAGTCGCCGGATCTCCAGTGCAGACGATTCCTTTATCCATGGAATTCTGTGCTACTTTTCTTGTTGCACCACGGAATGCACAAGTTATGGCCGTAGTGCATGGAGTTCAGGAGGAAGGGCATTAAGTACAGCATTTGGTGCTATCTGTGGTTTCACTGGGTGTCTTGGAACATTATCCCCTGAGGATGGGGGAGGGGGGACTACTTAGGTGTAAAACAGGGTCATCTCTCTGTCACACAATTGTAAGGAGTATAAAGGATTAAGGGAGATAATGTAGGTAAAGTTTCGCTTGCTGCCTGGCCCGCAGTGAAGAGCCGAGAGTAATAGTCTGTTCCTAACTGCTCTTTACAGAACTTTAAGCTCTGCAACCTTTGCAGGGGGTTAAAAGTACCCAGTTTTTGCTTTCTTCTGCCAGATCTGCCCCTGTGTTCTTAGGACACTCTGAAACAGGCACATATCCGGGCCTCATACTAACAGGTGGGGCCTGAGCTACAGGGATGTGGGGAGTAATCCTTCATGTCTCCAGGGAGTCCTGGGAAAGCACACAAAGTAGGAAAACCTTCTCCTTCCTGGGGCTGGGAAGGAGAACAAAGTGCACAGTTGGCTACAAACCATAAGAAGTTTGTGTCAAAGGGATTCAAAGCCTCCAAAGGTTGAATGGAATTGTCTAGGACTAGAGAAATGGGGCTGACACCTGTGGAGGGGGGAGTAGGGAGATGAGGGGTACCCTCTAGAGGCACTAGCTGCCATCAGACGCTCCCCGAGTGTCTCAAGGAGTCGAGGCTATGTTCTCTGGGCGTTAGCCTTGGGGAAAAGCCTGCTATGCCAGTAATCAGGGTTGTCAAAGGCGGAGTCGGTGGCTTCTAAACTGCGGAGGGTTTTGAGGCGGGCGTAGCGGACACTAGGGGCATGCGGACCAGGCCCCTGGAAAGCTCGCATCTCTTCATACCCTTGCTCAGCTGCTGGGCAGGCCCCCATGGCTGTGTAATCCCCTCCCGGGCCACCTGCACCGCGTCGCCGATTCATATACTCATAGTCCTCATCTGGTGTCGTGCCAGCAGTGGATATGACGGGCACAGGGTTGAGAGGACAACTCTGCGTGCTGCCCAGGGAGGCACTGAGGTCTGACCCCACGTCCATGTACTCATAGCCCAGCTCCTCAAGGGAGCCGGGCCGAGGGGGATGAGATGGGCTGGGCCTTCTCCGACGGTTCATGTATTCATACTCCTCATCTTCATCTTCCTCTTCAGTACCCAGGACAGAGCTGAGACCCACTGAGGAAAGAGTACCTTCTCGGGAAGAAGGAGTACCTAGGAGAAGAGCAGAGAGGATAAGTAGGTGGAGAACTTCATGGTAATGGGCAGTAGGTAGGGGAAGGGAAGGGAAAGTTAGAAAAAATTAATAGGAAGGGATAGGATCAGAGAAGACGAGAATTCAGAGAAAGCTGCAGGAGGAGTCAGGCACCTTTGAGGTGTGTATCTGGCATGACATAACCGTTGACATCCTCTTCTTCCAATCCTGGCGGGGCAAGAGGGGTGACGGGCGTAAGCAGGCTATGGCGCTGGGAATGGTAGGCACTATCTCCCCTTGGCCGTGGGCTGCGGCTGCGGCTGCGGCTCCTGCACACCGACACCTTCTCCGGGAGCTCAGCCTCAGAGCCTGTCACGTGACCTTCTGACGATTCGGAGGTCAGGCGGCCCCGTGGCACTGGGTGCAGAGAGACCGGACGAGGGCATCGTTCACTGCCCCCACAAACTGCAGACTCCTACGAAGGAAGGTAAAGAGAGGATAACAGATTTAGAGACAGGAAAGGCTTTATTTAGAAGATTGGGTTGGGGGCCGGTGCTGTGACACAGCAGGTTAAAGCCCTGGCCTGCAGTGCCAGCATCCCTTATGGTGCCAGTTCAAGTCCTGGCTGCTCCACTTCCGATCCAGCTCCCTACTGATGAACCTGGGAAAGCAGTGCAAGATGGCCCAAATGCTTGGACCCCTGCACCCACATGGGAGACCCGGATGAAGCTCCTGGCTCCTGGCTTTGCATCAGCTCAGCTCAGCTCCAGCCATTGCAGCCATTTGGGGAGTGAACCAGTCAGTGTATGGAAGACCCCTCTCTCTATTGCTCTCTCACTCTACCTTTCTCTGTAACTCTTTCAAATAAAAATAAGGCTTAAAAAAAGAAGAAGATTGGGTTGTTTGTTGCCTGCCTTTTCAGTTTCTCATGCTTCCTGCACTACCCCTCAGCCACCTCGTGTCAGCAGCAGAGCTCACCTGGCAGGCCTCTCCAAGAACACTCTGGTTCATGGGCATGTATCCAGATGATGGACTTAACAGGCTCTGGCTCTGGGAGGAAAGAAGTAAGAAAAAGGTTCAGATGAAGGAAGAAATCCTACTCTTACCATGGGGGCCGTGAGTAGTTGGTCTGGGGGTTTGTGCGGGCCTGGTGTGGAGTCTTGGGTAGTTACAGTGTCTTACCCCCCGTGGTCGAGTAAGAGTTCCAACTGGTAGGCTGAGAGCAGAGCCCAGTGTGGTTGCCAGGGTGTCCTCTTCTGCCTCCAAGTCTAGGTCTAGGTCAAGTTCTGGCTCCAGCTCTACTTCCTCCAGTTCCTTGTTTGTCAGAGCAGAGGGCTCTGCCCCAGGAGGTACTCCAGGCCCACTCTCCCTCTGTAGGAGCAGGTAACTGTTAAGGTGGATCCGGGTTCCAGCCAATTCTTTTCTCCACATCCTTGCAATCTAGTCCCTACTCACCTTTATGACTAGATACCGTGGTGGATCTCGGGCCATCCTGGTGAACTCATTGGCTAGTTCTTTAAAGGTTGGGCGAATGTTCTCATCAATCATCCAACCTAGGATAAGACACAGGAGGTAAAAAACCGTCAGTGTGCATGGAGCCGTAAGAGGAGATGGGAGGGAGAACAGTTAACAAATAGCTGGGATTTTCAGCCTTTTGGCTAAGATCAACTGTGAAAAAATGGCTTGGGGTGGGGGTGGGGGTGGGCAGTGCTATGGCATAGTGGGTAAAGCCACCTCCTGCAATTCTGGTGTCCCATATGAGCACCAGTTCCTATTCAGCTCTCGGCTATGGCCTGGGAAAGCAGTGGAAGATGGCCCAAGTCCTTGGGCCCTTGTACCCGCGTGGGAGACCCAGAAGAAATTCCTGGCTCCTAGCTTCAGATCAACGCAGCTCCGGCCTTTGGGGCCAATTGGGGGAGTGAACCAGCAGATAGAAGATCGATCTCTCTCTTAAAAAAAAAAAAAAAGGCTGGGGGAGGGGGGGATGTCGGGCCAGCAATTTAGCCTCTTCCTTGGGTCATCCACATCCTATATCTGAGTGCTGGTTTAAGTCCCAACTACTAGGCTTCCTATCCAGCTCCCTGCTAAAGCACCAGGAAGCAGTGGATGAAGGCTCAAGTACTTGAGTCCCTGCCACCCATGTGGGATAC